CTTTCTTTACGTACAAATATAGATGGAGAGATGCATATATATTTATAGATAGGCATGTATTCCTGATAAGACCAGGAACGCGAACGGTGATCCCGGTGAGACTGTGCGCATCTGCAGCAGTGACCGGGCGTCCTGTGGATTACACCCACGAAGCAGGCAGTGCCCGTCCCCGCCACGGGATCCCCCGCGCCTGCGGTGGCGGCCCGCGGCCAGGCGCGGAGGACGGGTGCGGCGGAGCCGCTCCGCGGGCCGGGCTGCGCGGCCGCCCCGGGCCCCAGCCGGGCCTCCCAGCGCTCGCCGGCCTCTCCCCGGCAGCAAAGCCCCGCTCGGGAGAGAATCGCCACGTTTGGAGGGAAACGTGCCGACCTCCCGCGGAACCGCCGCGCTGCGCCGCGGGGAGCGGTCCCTTCTTTCGAGGTGCAGGGCGCGCACGTGCGCGCGGGGCGGCGGGCGCTTCCCACCCGCGGGCGCGGGCAGGCGCACCCGTGAGCGGGCGCACAGGCGTGGGGCCAGCGCGGGCGAGGTGCGCGCGTGTGCGTGTGTGAGTGTGCACTTTTTGTAACGGCGGTACGTAACGCGCCCAGCAAACGGTGCAGCCTCCCTCGTGGGGCTACCGCTCCCGAATTCTTTTCCCCCGGAGCTCCAGCGCTAAAGCGCGCACCGGCTCCTCCAGCGCCAGGTCACTTGAAATCCTCTGCCCTGTGTCAGCAGCCTTTCCCAGAGGGGACCTCCTTCCCCGTTCTGCCTGCTGGAAGTGGGCTTTGCAGCGGGGCTCCGGCTCCGCGCCGGGGCTCCCGCCGACCCCGGGCGCGCCCCGGGGCTCCCTGCGCGCCCGCCGGCACCGGCCCGCCGCCGGGGTGGCCGCTTGCTCCGCTTCGAAGTTGCTCCGAAAGGGGCAAGCGCTCTGGACGTGGGAAAACTCACCAAGTCGGAGCCGTTTACCAGCGTGGCCAGAAAAGCGGTAAATAAAAGCGCCCGTGTTAGGCGCATCAGCCCGGGGACTGCTGCTTCCTCACGGCTAAAGCGAGGGCGATAAGCGGTCGAGGCCAGCGCGGAGCGTGTGTCCCCGTTACGGACAGTGTCTGCTTTAAAGACGCTAACTTCGTCTTAGGGATGCCGGCCTCGCCTTTGAAAAAATTCAAGCGATCAGTCACGAGCCATTAAAGCGACCCGAAAGGCGAGTCTTTCGAGGGGGGAAACGGAAGCGCCCGATTATTGTTTTGCATTTAACTTTCTGCGTGCGAACGGCCCAGGCGCGGCCGGGGGCTGCCGTGTGCGCCCCGCGGGCACAGCACCGAGAGGGGACGGGACGCACAGCCCCCACCCACCCCAAGCAGCCTCCTGCACCCTCCCGCGAGCACCGCCGCGCTGCCGTGGGGGCCTCCGAACGCTCCCCCTCGGCGACGGGAGCCTCCGCGGGCGCGGGAGCCTGCGGCCGGCGCCCGTCGGGCCCCAGCGGTTTGGCTGCCACGAAGGAGGCAGCGCGGAGGGGCGCGGGGGCTGCCGGCACGGCCTGCCGTGGGCTCGGCGCGACCCCGCGCAGACAGCCCCCGCCTACTGGGAAACCTAAGAACCCACGCGGGAGAAGTACCCCGACAGCGTCTCGAGAGCCAGGCATTAGAAAGAAAATCATGGCCCCCGTCGAGGCTGGAGAGCTGGGGTTCGTGTTTCTCCCCACAAGCCTTCGTGAGTAAATCCGCAACGGGCGCCTTGCTAGAGGAAAGTTGGCTTTGGGGACGGAAAGAGCGCAGAAACAGCCGAGAGACGCCTCACAACCTCACCGCCCGCAAAAATACCCCTCTCTCTGCCGGGGATTTCAAAGCACCGCTCCCCTCTCCAGAGCCAAGCGAACAGCACAAGCATGGCGTGGACGCGAATTCAGCATTAGCGATTCCAGCCCCAGTGATCGTCGCTAATTCAGAACATATACGGGATGGCGATCAACCAGTTTTGCACCGTTACCCCCTCCCGCCAGATAAAAAACCAACGGCAGCAGCAGCAGCAACAACACGAAAATCATTCTTTCTGCTGTAGGACGCTCAAACAAACCTCAGACCAAAAGTTTAAAAGAATACTCATTAACCAAGTGCTCCAATACACACAAGTAACAGATCTGTGTTAAGCGACCACTAGGGACTTTACACGAGTTCAAAGAAACTTGCAATACGCATCTTTAAAATATATCACCCCCACCACGTTTCTCCGGGTTTCTTTTACAGTGGGATGGCTCAGACTATCTCTACGATTTTTTTTTTTGATTTTTTTTTTTTTAGCTACGCTCGGGTTCTTTTGTTAAAACCGCTGCCTAGTCAAGTCGGCGGGACAGTTAACCTGAAAGATTCGCAGAGAGTAATATTTTCGGCGCATGAAACATTTTTTTCCCTGGCTCCGTCGCCCGGTGGGTTACATTTCCTCAAGTACCAACACTTTCTGCCTCGGTCCCACCGGGCTCCAACTTTTTCTATCTCGGCAAACCCTGCAAGGTGGCGCTCTTTTCCCTGCTAACTGCTATTAGCCTTATAATAATAACATTTTGCAGAAAGTAAAGTTAAAGCGAAGCCTTCCCACGGGTGCTGCAGGGAGCAGACGGCGATGCCGAGCTGGCAGGAGTGGGGCTTCGTC